AATATACTAAAGAATGAAATTAAGAAATCTGCACTTATTCCACAGATATATTGTCAATTCTGACCTGCGTGTTTATTTGTGATAACGTTTTTTATAATCATTTTTGTAAATTCCGGTTTCCCGGATCGAACAAACGTAGCTCATGGCGGTCAGAGTGGGAAATTCTGATACACCTTAAACATAAAAAAAAAAAAATTCGAATGATGTCGTTTGGTACTCGTGTTTCTTATACGGGAAACCTCGACTTAGATTTTCGATCTGGGGACAAGATTATCCTGACAAAGAGAGATGACGACGAAATGCTGGTATTTTTTCTTGTTTATTCCTTTCACAGGGAGGATATAATGTCCATTAAATTTTTTTATCTATCAGTCCACGTGATAAAAACGCAGTGTTTGAACATCTGTACCAACACTTGTCTGAATGTGTTGACAGTGGTCCTTAGCGGCTATCGGCAGACTTCGTGACAGTTTTGCCAACGTAAATAAACACAGAATAAAACGATAAATAATAAGAAGAATGAATAGAAAAAGAGGGTTTTAAAGAAAGAACACAATAATTTGGTTACCTCACTAAAAGTATACCATCATCCTGTCTGTCAAGTATCAGAGTCCATGTAACCTTTTCTCGTGTCACTCCATCTATTGAGTGGTCTTCGTAACCACCGTTGTTTAACATTACACCGCAACATTCACAGCTCTATGAGGCGTAAAACGAGTACATTTATTTTACGTCACAGTAGGCCCAAATTTCCGCTCTTCTAAATTTCGTATTTTGAGTTGTTTTTTTAAAACGAATTTCGGCGAGACACAGATTGACCTCCACATTCTATCCTCAGACCCTCGAGGCAAATTCCAGGGACAATACTTTAAAATAGTCAACGACCACTTCCTCCCTGCATTCCTTTCAAGTTCAAGGTCGCTGATCATTCTTTTAAATCATTTGACACTAAAAAAATATCTGCAGTTGATACCGAGCTTAAAAACTCTACGATACATTATCTATCTATGGATTATAATATGAGATATAGAATCCGTTCGTAATGTTGACCCTCATGTTAGCTCTTGTAATTTTAGTGTGGTATCTCTCCAGTTTTGGAGAAAAAAAAATACAGTCAGTATTTATAAATGTAATTGTGACAAAATTTGCTAGTTATGAGCGTGATTGTCATTACTGTATGGGCAGATATAATATCACCCTATTGAAGTGACGATGATTAGCGTAACATGTGCCACACACATACTTCGATTACTTGCAATTAATCGAATTAGCGGTTCCGACGTTGCGATCATGTGAGTGTGTAATGCTACTAATTGGCATCACAGATTTCGGTGTTTTATAAGCTTTTCCCTTGTTCAGGTCTGAAAAGAATTAAATAATAATTACAATAATAATAAATAAAATCAGTGCTCATGTAAACTCGTAATAAATTGTTGTAGTTTAAAATAAAATATAGCTTTGTAAAAATATTATTAGAGTAATGAATGCATGTAAAAAATTTAACGTTTTGTTAAACTTTAAACCATTTCAGTTCTTTGTTAACCCCCCCCCCAAAGACAATCTGGAAGTTCCATCCCAGTTTTCAATACACACCAATTTGTTTATATTACTTTACAATAAATTAAATTGTCGCAAAGTAAATTTTAATTCCGACTCACACATTAATGTGAAGTCACGTGATTTCATTTCTAAACGGCCCCTTTGACAAATCCCATACTTGGACCGTGACGTAGCTCAGGCGGTTAGTCACCGACTACTCACCAAGGGGACCCGCGTTTGCTCGAAAGCGGTTACGGGTTAGACAAAGCCCCCGTTAGTGGCCGCTGTTTCACACATGGGCACAGTAACACCCATCATTCAATTCCGAACTCAAACAAAACAACATTCACGGAGCACAGTCCTTCTTCAGAAGCTAACAGTTGCTCAGCTCGTCACGAAATTAACCCGACTCTTCAAGGTACCCGAAGGTTCATTACCGTGTTCGCGACAGCACACTATTACCCCTATCCTGAGCCAGATTAATCCAGTCCACACAGTTAAATAAGATCCCATTTTAGTAAGATAGTAAAATTGCGTCATATTGTGGATCAAATATTAAATTATTTGGTTTTTCCGTCTAATCACAATTGTATTTAAAAATAAGATAATTTAAATAAATAAACAACAGAAAATGTAATTGAGTTTTAAACTTATTAATATAATTTTACACCTGAAGATGGTTCGATGAAACCGAAACATGTTATAACAATGTTCCAAAATGTAAATCGATTATTCGATCTGGAACATAAAATTATATTTTAATTATCTTATTTTTAAATACAATTGTGATTAGACGGGAAAAACCAAATAATTTAATCTATTTTATTATTATCCCACTACCTAAGTCAAGATCTTCGACGTGTATGAATAGCTTATTTCTCACATGCGTGCCACATTAACCTCACATCCCATTCCTCAAGATAGGATAATCAAGATATTCGCCTTTAATACGAGATAATTTCGACGTTTCTCCAACACCTTTCCTACGTTTGCACTCCGCATTTGGTGGCAATCCTGTCAGTCATAATCTTTTGTTTCCCCGTTCAGCCCGATCCTGGGAGTGGCCGATTACCACCACGAGCTGGACCTCGACGGTAGTACAGTGGCAGTGTGCTTCACGCAGGCCGACACCTTCTGGACCGCGTTTTTCTTCATCCTGAGCATCGTCATCTTCTTCGTAGTTCCGTTCGTCATACTGCTGGTGCTGTATACCATCATCGCGCGCCACCTCATGACTCACACAGGCATCATAGCTCCACCCTGCAGGTGAGGGTATGACGCCCTTATATTCCAGTCCTGGGATTTTCAGTTCAAGTATAAGGGCACAGGAATGTTATCTTCCAATCTCAAAAAAAAAATGTGTGGTGTACATTCCTACAAATCTTGTACAAGGTAATAAGTATAATTTTGATCACTATTATTATTAACCGCGCTGAATTTCTTGAACACGTGAATCACAAATGTACTGTGAAGCAAGACTTGTTACTTATTTAATAAGTTATGTGAGTATAAGTGGTAACTACTTGCCTAGTTTTATATTTACATCGATGAAATATATAGAAACCATAATTAACATTTAAAATATTTAAAATATTAAATGATGTTCTTTATCGAAATATTCGATTTATACATTAGACCATCTAGATGGTCTAATGTAAATGTTAATTATTGTAATATTTGTAATTGTAATTGTAATTAAATGTTAATTATTGTAATATTTTAAAATTTAATAAGAATTTATTGTGATTAGACGGACAAGATTTAAATAATATATATTCATTATATCACAATATGACGCAACTTTACCATCTCATATAGAAACCACCCAAACACTTGATTGCCTCGCTAAAAAGTAAACAGACGTAGTTAACTTGGTTAACACAGTTAAACATCTGGGTATATAGTTTTATAGTTGTATATATGAAGCTATACAGGGTTTTTCAAAGCTACAGAATAATAATTAAGGAGGTTACTTGGGAGATCATTTGTAGCATAAATTGTAAATAACTTTCTATTCAAGTTCGTCACCGTTTCCGAGTGACGGCGTATTTACGTCAATGTCATTCTGTACTATTTTGATCGTTTGACGGGGATTCGGCACTGATGGTGCGTGAAAGTATATTCGACGTTCAAGTGGGGCTTGTGTTTCATGCTTGGCGAAAGGAGGGAGGGAGGGAGGAGGCCTGTTGCGACTGCGCACTGCACAGCATACCTAGAGCGCTGACGAGGCTCCACTACACGAACAGAAAAGTACTTAAAAATTACAACTCTGTAGCTACGGTTCAAAAATGCTACAGAGAGTAGAATTCTCTACATTTCTTGGTTTCATTACAAACAAAGACATCAACTGACATGTTACGTCAAATCTAATTGTTTCTATCTTGTAAAAATTGACAGTCACATTAATAAAAGCGACATCAAAGCAAACGAAACGATGACGAATGTGGAAAAAAAAGTATTTACATTCATTGATCCAAAAGACCTCGCCGACAATCTCTGAGAGCAGCGTTTCTCAACCTATGGTACCCGTACCACTGGCGGTACGCGAACTAAGTTAAAAAATCAAAAGACAATATTAACACAAATATGTTCCCCCTTAACGCATTTTGTTAGTAGTAAATCTAATGTGTTAAATTAGAATTAATGGTACCCCTGTCTTAGAGCACTTTAGCTATGAATCACCGTTTTTCTCAAGACAGATTTCGGTTCCGATTGGTAATTAGTCATTAAAGATACTACAGTCACGTTCTTTATTCGTGTCGCAGGTACGGCAGCTATACTTCCGGGACCCAGCATACCGCACTCCGGTACCGGAAGCAAGTGGTTGTGATGCTGGGTACAGTTGTTCTGTCCTTCTTCCTTTGTCTCATGCCTTTCCGGGCATTCACACTCTGGATCATCGTGGCTCCAGAAGAGGCAGTCTTCTCGCTAGACATCGAGGAGTACTACAACCTGCTCTATTTCTGTCGTGTCATGACCTATATCAACTCCGCCATCAATCCCATCCTGTACAACGTAATGTCCTCCAAGTTCAGAGACGGTTTCACTCGTCTTTGTGGTCTCACAAGCAGAAATCGTGCAGAAGTCTACCTCGGCCGAAAGGGAACTTTGAACACCGTCTCAACGACTACGACCACTAACTGTTCCAGCGGATTACAGGACTCAATCTGGCGCAGATCGGTCAAAATGACGCTCCCAGAAAGCAGGACATTCAAGAGGACACAGTCTACTCACTGCGGAGACGTCAAAGGGATTAACAACGCCACGTGCATTCTGTTGAGAAGCAAATCCCATCTGGTGTGCAGTACCAGAAATAACGTGGTGAGAACCGGCGATGAAGATGGACGAAGAGGACATGAAGAAAGCTACGTCTGAGCAGGTTCTACACTGAGCTCAACAAAACCGCGGCAGAGATGCTGCGTTACTATGGCGACTCGACTTGTTATTCATCGTGAAAGACAACGACTTCAATACCGCCTCTCATTTCAGAATGTTTCCATTGAAACAAAGCGGACAAAGAGAATACGGAGGGGGATATGAGACAGAAAGAACAATAGAAGATAAGGAAGAATAATGAGGATAAGTGGATAAGAATGTTGACGGAATAGCATATCCGATTTCTCGCACCATCGCCCCACTAAACGTACTTTCTCCTGATGACCTTGCACACCTTTACTATTATGGTTCTTTCGCTGTTTAATGACGCTGTATCAACTTCGTTCATTGTCATATTGTAGCATATAGATATTGTGTTTCGTGTTTCAGGTTACAGCCACAGCGCTGAAACCAGCCTCCCCACTAATGCTTCTCAAGGTTTTACTCAGTCCCTCAAGATAGGTTAAGCCCCTACCAGAGTACGATTCGTGATTGTACGTTCATTTCTCGTTCGGTGTGAACGGTGTATGACCAATCTCCTTATTCACATTCATAATTTCACTGGAATGACTGAGAAATACCACAAAGCACATAAACAGTTTCGAACCAGATTCGAAGCCGGTACTCGAAGGTCAGTAAAGGTAATAGTTAAAGTCGCCTCTGTTCTTAATTGAGTACCACGCAATTGAGCGTAGAAATTGTTATGTTATGTTATGCGTAAGTTTCGTAGTTTCTTGATGTTGTTTAAATCTATCATGCAAGATTCTTTAGAGATTATTATTACAGTGCCTGACCTATCTGTATCCTTCCTTATTACGTAAAATCCACGTTTCAGAACCAAATGTTCAAGCCTGACATTTTATGTAGGCATCATTCTTTGTATTGTTTCATTTATCATAATTGTTCCGGGCGCACACACAAAATTCTAGTAAACGCTATGATGACTTTCATTTATTTATATGAATTTTACCTTTGTCATAGAATGAATCCGATCAATGGCTAAAAGAAATTCATAATCCTTTCATGTCCTCCGTTAGTTTCGGGCTGACATCTTCAGAAATCATATCAGCAAGTGTTCAGATAAATGAACCTCAAATAAGGTTCTCTGTTAAACTTATTCAGGCATCTGGAAAATTACATTTTAGTCCAATGTTATATTCAGTACAGTAGTTTTAAAATTCAAATGTACAATAAGTTTAATGTGATGGGATGTCACGTGTTAAAATATATGGACCTCAAGTAATCAAACTACGTGCAGGAACGGAAGGACTCAGACGTGTCCTTAGCAATTTGAGGTGCCATGATTCAGTCCACATGAAAAAATTCTCGTGTAATAATTGTATTAATCAGTATTATTTACTTTTAGTTCTTAAATTAAATTATGTTAAAATTATGTGATATGATAATTCTTATTGATAATCAAATTAAAAGGTCACAGAAGACTTCTTTCATCAGACTACATTGGCATTTTGAAACTTTTTGTTCATAGGCTACGGATTCTGCAGGAATGTATATTAATTGTAGCAAGTCTGTGGAAATATGGAGTAATTTGTTATTTTTTATCAACACTATTCCACAGCGAACCTGACCACTTCCACCATATTCTACTGTGAAGTTAAAAACTCACATTATAGGCTATAATTACATACTGTATGTCAAAGCATGTCTTACTTCGTTATATTGCAAAATATAATTAAACTCTGTCCTATGTAAGCCAACAGAATATATAACCAAGTCATAAATGTAACAAAACTTCAAATCATTTAACATTCGTTCTTTAATATAATAAAGGAAAAGTGGATAAGCAGATATCATTCATTACTGATTCACATACCAAAAGTACATTTCTTCCTTATTGCAAATACCTGCAGTGTTCCATATTTAAATCTGTTTTAGATATTAAAAATGTCTGTCCATTTGTCCTCCTCGTCATTATCATTAGCCAAATATATTTCTTGGTCTGATTCCTATTGATCTATTCAGCTTCATCCTATTAATACATGTTACCTTACCTAACCTAACCTAACCTAACCTAACCTTACCTAACCTAACCTCAATGACTTTTTAAAACCCCAGTTTTAAAAAAATGGCCATGACAAGTCTTATTACGCATTCAATTCATTAAGTCAGTATATTCTGTTACTTTGGAGCTGTCATCTAAAGGCTGGAGAAGTCTGAAAGACACAGTAGAGGTTACTTAACACCTCTGAAGCAAAATATAAGAAGGTAAGTAATAAAACAATCATGTGGTTTCAGCTGCTTCTAAAGGGAGAATTAAGGGAATGTGTTTATGAAGACAATGATACCAACAGTAAATTTACATCATTTTTGTATACTTTTCTAAATATCTTAATCTAAATATAATAAAAATATGGGAAGAATTAAGAATGGCTCGATTACGTAAGGAATAAAAATATCTTGCAAATATAAAAGGAGTCTATTACATCCATAGCGGGTAATGACGCAAAGACAGGAGCATTTTATTATAAAATCCTGAATAATATTATAAAAGATGCTATAAAGCAGTATTAGAGCAGACATTCAGATAATAAAATAAAAAACAACACAGCTTAATTAAATGGGATACAGGAAAGGCACATTTAATCGAACAGATACCATTCTTCTTAGAAACAATGCAAAAGAACAGAATTCAGAAACAGCTGCTCATACTTTCAAAAATTCTTTTTATAGCAATTACTGAAAGTTCAATTTACATCAAGTGGGGAGAGAAGATGCTATTTCATTTTTAAAAGATGAATTTCCTGCATTTTTCGTATTAAAATTATTCCAACCACTGAAACTGAGATAAAGGGTATAATACACTTCCTCAAATAAAAATAAGTCATCAGGTTATGATGAAAAACCAAACAAGGTGCAATGTACTCTAAAATTAATATAAATGGTCAACCTACTTTAAAGATTTAATATATTATAATTTTGGTACATAATTTAGTGTATTGGACAAAATATATCAATTTGAAAATTTATCAAATTCTTCAAAAAAAACGTAGGAAAATTACCGAAAAGCTCACAAATACAAAAATTTCAAAAATTCAAAATTCAAAATTTCAGTCAAAAAATTCGAAAAGTTTTAGTTATCTTTGGTTTTCATGCCATTTATAACAATTTTTAAATTTTTCGAAAATTTTAAAAATTTTAAAAATATTTTTTGATCCCATGAATGATTATAGTGGATAAACAGTAAAATTAATTAAATTCCTCATTATGCAATATTCTCTATCGAAACGCTAGATGGGAGTTGAGTGCAGAACACGTGGGCTGCTTCGAAGGTCTCGGCCGTAGTTTCAACTGCAGCCAACAGAGCGCACAGCATGCACACAAGCGTCTCTTTGAAAAACGGTTCACATCGAAATTTTAGTCAGATTTGGTACGTCCCAAAGCGTCACAGGATTTTTAAGGTGCACGAAGATTGTAGGACACTATATATCACGTCCAATAACGCCTCAGTCTCTGATCAAACTGTCACGATAAATTCAGATTACATTCTGGTATCATCGTACATCCTACTAATTTTTAAAAGAACTTTCCATTTAATCTGGTATGTCACACACAGTCGCGTGGCTACCGAGTCACTGCAAACTTCTGAGGTGAAAGAGAAAATTTAAAGATGGCTGCATTCTGGGTTGTAGCGCCGTATAGTCTGGTAGAAGTTTACCAACGTTCATCGCCCTGACGATGGAGGCAGCAAGGACCTCTGACACGTTGGTGGAAATCTACCGTACGACACGACGTAACAACCCAGAATGCAGCCATCTTCAAATTTTCCATCACCTACGTATAAATTTCACTCTCGTGTTTTATCACTGGTTTAACCAATATTTCACATAATTTAAAATATGTAAGGTCACGTCAATGACATTATTTTAACGAAGGTAAAATATATATATACATGTTTGTATTTTAGTTTACAAATTTCATTCACCACCAGAAGGTACTAGATTTCAAGTACTTGTTATGTTGGTATCGTTTAGCATATCTTTAACCCGCATGCCTTGTTATTTATCATAAAAAGGCTAAAATTCACTGAGGGAAATGTATTAAATTGTTTCATATTTAACCGAACCCAAATATTGCCAAAATGTGTAAATCGATCAAATACCTCTCCATATCGAAACATTTCGGCGCTTTGTATTGCTATACGAAAATTTCTCGTCGTGGTACTAATTAAAAAATTACGCCAACTGTATGGGGGGGGGGGGGGAAACGTTAGATTGCAGAATTAAAATATAATAAATTTTTATTAGTCACGTTAAAGAAAAGATATCTAACAGAACGAAACGTGTTGAATTTTTTTAGAATAACAGTGAGATGATAAAGTTGCGTCATATTGTGATAAATATATATTTGTTTAAAACTTGTCAGTCTAATCACAACAAAATTCCTATTAAATATTAAAATATTACTATAATTAACATTTAAATATTTAAAATATATTAAATGATGTTCTCTATCAATAGAGAACATCATTTATATATTAAATGATGTTCTCTATCAATAGAGAACATCATTTAATATATTTTAAATATTTAAATGTTAATTATAGTAATATTTTAATATTTAATAGGAATTTTATTGTGATTAGACTGACAAGATTTAAACAAATAGAATAAAAGTAAAATAGTAAAGTAAATAAATATAATTTGCTAGCCCATAAAGTGGTGTTTTCTCATGTGTCGCTGAGACAGGGCAATGCTCCATGTCAGTCCTCGCACGTACTGTACGGTCAGTCTGACGTGTGCCGTTAAAGACATGGCTGGCAATAACAGTTTTATTACCGGAAATATTGTACGTGTGTCCTGTGTTAATGACACCAGTTCTTTAGACAATGATACGATATATGAAGGATGGCAGTTATCAATATTTTATTGCACTGTGAGTCAACATAATGCAAAAGGCATGGTGCAATGTTCACGTCACTTTACCTTTCGTGGTTCAAAGAAGTATGCGTTTGTATGCTGCAAATGTCGACGATTAATAATAAGAATAAGTTAATTCTGAAGTTAAGTTGGTTGTCTACGGAGCCTTAAGTCAAGTGACAGCATTGATAATTCAAGGCTATCAATATCAAAAGAAAATTACCAAAGACGTACTTCAGTTTGTCGTCAACATAATTTCCAAAAACGTTCTTTATTATTTCGTACACTTAACGGGCATCACTGTTTATTCAATTAAATACAAATACACTGTCGAGAAACAAATCGCACTTCAGACAAAACTGCGCAATCAGACGTAATATCTGATTTAATTTAACCCTTCAAAGTCGAATCTCGTCTAAATATACAAGAATTCAGTCGTACCGCGAAGAAAACACCACACTCTACCATTACAAATATCAACTGGTTAACCCTTTAAAGCCGAATCTCGTCTAAATATACAAGAATTCAGTCGTACCGCGAAGAAAACACCACACTCTACCATTAAAAATATCAACTGGTTAACCCTTTAAAGCCGAATCTCGTCTAAATATACAAGAATTCAGTCGTACCGCCAAGAAAACACCACACTTCACCATTAAAAATACCAACTGGTCAATGCTATTTACGAAAATATTCCCTGTTTCCAGTGAGAATCAAACGAAACCCACAAATAGAAAATTCTGAGTTACTGATTGTTTTGGTAAGTTGAGGTTATCTGTGTATCTTGGAACCAACAACCTGACACCGATACTAAGGACGAATCTACTGTAAATTGAATCCCATTTCGAAAGATTCTGTAAACAGGAAGCTAACTTCTTTATCGGCGTTCTGCCCTAACACTTATGGAGAGATAAGACAAGTAGAATAAAGCATCGTGTCCTTCACATTTCTTCCTTGAGGACATAACTAATTAGTCCTCGTCACAGTGAAAGAAGATCCTCCTGGGTACCAAACGCTGAACAACAAACACGAGCACGTGACAAATGTCATTAATCACTGATCCTGAAATTTCTAGATTAAGCACGATTTTTGGAACATCGATTAAATGTTTTTAATTAATAATACGTGGAAGTCACATACATAAAACCCCGTATATTCGGGGGTTGTAAAAAAAAAACAATTTAGTTCAGTGCATTAATGTAAAATTCCACGTTGAGTGTCAAATCCGTGTTTCATTTCCGGTTCGAAAGCCATAATTAATGGCCCGCTGACCGACAGACAAGAATTTGGCACTGAAATGCGCAAACCTACAGATTATTCATTAAACGTTATATTAAGTTACCAGTCATTAAACACAAACATGGACTGACTGCGAAGGTTTGAGGTTATATCTGACAAATAAAATACAGTCGATATTTGTGGCAGCAGAAATTAAATTACCCACTTAAATTGATCGATAATTTATTAAATTATCGATGTAATGTACTTGTTGACCACCATAAATACCGTCAAAGACGAGTTTAATAATTGGCACTACATTCGTTTCAGAAAAAATTACAATCATTAACTTTCGCTGCGGATTTACACAAAAATTAATTGTAAATGTCCCATGTGTGTTATTACCAGAATTCGCGCGGGTGATTACACTATCGGATTTCCTACAAGCTATTTCGAACTACAAGTTTCAAATTATACGAGCGTGCGCAGTCCGGGCGTTAGAATCGGTCGGTTTGTGTGTTACGAGGGTCGATTCAAGAGCTCATCTCGCAGCATCTCTCGTCACCCTGGCAACGAGGAGCAGGAACCAGGAGCTATCGGCAGCCAACCTCCCCCCAACCGGCCTGCTTGCAGTAGTCTGGGTCCGTTGCTTAGTGCTGGAAGGTTATAAGTGTTTATTGTTGCGCGGTAAACAGGGTGACACCAACAATGG